GCGTAGTTGCCCTGGCGCGCGGGGAATCGCAGGGGGTGCGTGACCTGCATTGGACCGGCACAAGCAATCAACAGCGGCGCGTGAGTCTGTGGTATGATCCTTGGGTGTGAGCAGACTATGGGGGACCAGACAACAACGTACGCCGGCGAAAGCGCGGGCGATGAGGTCGATTGGCTTGGTCGAAGGCCCGCAGAGGCCGCGGGCGCGCTACAATCATTAAAAGAAGAAGGAAATATCAGATTTTGCTCACCAGCATAGACAAGCACTAGAGCGAGCGACAAAAAGGCACCTTTTCGCTGACGTAGAAGCACAGATCCGCGTATTCGATCAGCTGGTTCAGAGTGAGGACGATGTTATCTGCACACCAGCCAGGTCCCATTGGCGTGAGACGATCCAAGCAGTATTGTGCGTGTGCGTGTGCGTGTGTGTGTGCGTGTGTGCGTGTGCGGCTAGAGACGAAGGACCCAAGAAGGGGAGTCACACGTACAGAGATCAAGGACGAGCGGCATATCTGGGGGAGCGGGGATCACGGACAGCGTCGACATTATAGTGTCGGGGTATTCCTCCCGCAGGCGAGACAGGAGCAAGGTCGTGAATCCGCCGCCACAGGCACCTTGAGCCACCCACCCAAACATTCCAACCGTCAACACACGTTTAGCACCACATTCTCGGCATTATTTGGTGTGGTTGGGGTACCCGCAACGTCGTGGAAGAGCTGGAAGGCTTGGAGCGTGTCGGCGCGCTCGGCCTCTCGCCTGACCAGGTCGAGCACATCGTCGAGGGACTCGGCGCCCTCCAAGTAGTGGCCTTGTGACCAGTAGCCGGGTACTATATGGTCGGTCGTGTGGAAGCAGCTGAGTGTGGTGGAAGTGGTCACGAACATCGTAAGAGTACACCATCACCGCGCCACCACCCTCGCGCTCCACACCCGCCAAACGCACTTTGATCGGTCGAACAGAACGCTGGAGGGATGCTTCGAGGTCTGCATGCCCGGGTACTCCAGATTGGCGAAGACCGCGCGGGCCACCACCGACTGATCGGACCGGCCTGTGAGAGAGAAAGCGCACATCACAGGAATCGAAGCCTTAGGCGAACGCAGATCATCATCATCATCACCGTCGCCATCATTGTAACTCGCTCCGCCTTCCGTACCGGGATCAGACTCCCTGAAGTGCGAGCCAAGACCGTAGAGCGCGCGAGGCGGTATCTTGTCGTTGAGCGTCAGGCCACCGGGTCCCGCCGAGGGAACCAGCAGGTCGTGCTCGAACGCCACCTGCTCCACGTACGACGCCAGCAGCGCCTCGCCTGCGAAGTCCTGAAGAATAAATGACGGTGTACAAATAATTATAAAATAATAAAAATAAACAGTCCAATAAACAGTAAAAAATAGTATAAAAAGAAAAATAAATTAAAAAGAATAAGTAATTAAAGGGCGCACCGATGGTGCCGGTGCTGATTTGGATGAGGGGCGATGGACCCAAGGGGCCAACGTTGCGCACAGGCTGCCAGCGCTGGCGAGACAGGAGGCGCCATTGGTGGGCGATGGCGGCAGCGCGCAGGGGCGCAAAGGGCGGCGGTGCAGTGCTGGCCACGGCCACGGGGTTCGCCTCGAGCGCAGTCCCGCTGCCCAGGGCGAGGGCGCAGAAGGTGCGGCACACCAGGGCGAGCCGCACGACGTCCGCCAGCGGTCCGGGCTCCAGCTGCTGCAACACGTGCCACCACACCTCCGCCGGAAGCAGCTCCAGCGCGTGCTTCGCCGGCACCACCTCTTCTCCCTCCGCCATCATATATTGACAATAAGTTAATTAATAAATTAAACAAATACACAACAATATTTGTTTTTATTTGGCGAGGACGAACCTGAATGAAGAATGAGAGACATTATGGCTGGCAGCCCTCAAAGGCCCACATGATGTGGTTGAGGTAGAAGAAGGTGTTGGTCACCTCCATCTCCTGGAGCGGCTGCAGGCTGCGCCAGGGATTGGGCTGCCCTGGCAGTGTGATCTTGGCCCAGGCTCTCCAGGCCACCTCAGTGTCCTTCTCCCACTCCTCTGCAATGCATCACAGTACACACACAATGTGGTTGATACAGGCACATGACATGCATGCAACATGTACACAATGCACAAGGTGAGCACCATGGGTGAAGGAGGTGAAGACAGTGGGTATGCTCTTGTCAACCAGCAGCTGCAGGGTGGGCAGCCATGTGTTGGCGGTCATGTGTGAGAAGGGCTGCTCATGCAGGCCCACATTCAGCCCAAGGACCAAATCTGGTTGTGTGAACTTGCCCTGGATGGCCATGGACCCACAAAGCTTCATACATGAGATCACTCCACTTTAAACAACAACCACCCAATCCCTGTGGGGTGGGAGAGTGGTACCAATGTGGCAAAGTCATGGTAGAAGGCCAGATGGATGCTAATGTTGAGTATACATGATTTGTTGCCCTGGGCATCCCTACAGGGCACTTGCATTGGTACCATCAGGTGGTGGTCCTACAGTGCCACAGGGCAGTACAGCAGTGGTTAGACACCCCACCATGCACAGCAGTAAGTGGTGTTGCAGTGCTGACAACATACAGTTTCAGGACCAATCATGCAGATATTGAGTCGCTTGAGGGCAGGCAGACAGTGAAGAATCTCCAGGTACTTCTCAAACCCTGGGTCAATGGCACATCTCATGAGTCAGCCAGAAAGCAGTGAGTGTGGGCAGGCCACACAGATAGCAACACATATGTACCAACATACTCAGACCCAATGGTCATGCCCAGGAGGTGAACACAGAGCGTTGCTGTGTCTTGCAGCCGCACGCTTCCTGAAAGGTTGCATGGAATTGTTATCAGTTGCATTGCTCTAGTAAACAAAGCCAAGTGTCTAGTGAGTAATGCATGCTGCACACAGTACCAACAACTCATTCCAGGGCATGAAGGACCGTGAGCGGGATTGACAGGTAGCTGGTCACCATCACCTTTTGTGCTGCGCAGTGAAGGTTAGGGCGGTCAGTAGGCCTCAAGACTTGAATGGTGCTAAACAAGACAGGCGGTACCATTGGTCATCGAACGTACGCTGACGTGTTGCTGTTTGGATTCGGTGTGGTTCTTGTGGTGTTGGCACCAGGAAACGAGGTGACAGCCCTCGCACGGGCACAGCACAACTGGCGCACTCTGCGGTTTGATGGGGTGAATCCCGCCCTCGAAGCACACAACGCACTTGTCCTGTCACGCGCACACGCACACGGGTCAGCACACCTTGACACAGAGGCGGGACAGTCAAAGGGAGGAGACCTGAAACATGATGAGTTCGGACTCGTTCCGCTGCAGCTCGCGCCGTAGCATCCGCTGCGCCATCTGCAGTTCCATGCGCTTGTGCAGTGTGAACCGGAGCGCCTCCTCGCTGCCCTCCGGCGCCACGTCGCCCAGCAGCCTACGCACCTCGGCCACGCTCTGCAGTGGCACAATCAGGGCACCAAGCGCGCATCGTCGCGTGGCCGGGGGGTGGGGTGCGTACGGGTGAGGCCAGTGGTTGCTGGCGGAGGGCGTGGATAGTGCGACAGATCTCGCGGTGGTGAGCAAAGTCGAGCCTCTGGTGGGCTGCGCCACAGTACCATGTCGCTCTACACCTGCCACACACCAAGAGCTTCACCTTCAATGCACATTCATATCGATTGTGAATCTTAATTGAGCATTTCAAACAATCAAGGGCCACAAGAGGAGCTACGCACAGGGGAAGAAGCTACTATTTTACACAGGTTGCACGTATGAGGCATACTCCGTGCCAGCCCCGCGAACGCCCCGTCCTCCATGGTGGTCCTCAAAACAAAAAGCAAAAAAAGAATAACAGAATAAATAAATGAATAAAAACAACATTTATTGCAATCATCCGGATGATGAGCAATGAATGGCGAGGTCACTTGTGGGCAAAGGCGAGGTAGAAGGCCGCAAGGTTGAGGGTGATGTCCTGGCGGGGCAGAATGGTGATGTTGGCCAAGTTGGCAAAGGGCATCACTTGCACGGTCGCGATCCCAGTAGGAGCGATGTGGAACAGCTTCATCTGCTGGTTGTACTTGATTGAGGTAACGCCCCGCGCACCCGGCACCGTGTACTCTGTGATTTGTAGTTGTTGTTGAAACCACAACATCAGCGGCAACATGTTAATGCTAATGATGCGCGTTGCACTGTGGTACAGACATATCCAAATAAAATGCAATGATATATAGCAAAGCGTACTGTAGAGCCAGCCGGCGTGCGGGGAGTGACTCGCATCGAACAGTTTGTTGGCGCCCAGAAAAACGAACCTGCGCCGAAGCCAAGAGAAAGAGAATGTGAGGGACAGGGAAAGGGCAGTATCTGCTCGTGGCAGCGCAACGCGCGAGAGGGGCCGTGGAAGAGGAAAGGGATGCGCACCTTCCGGCCATGTTCCCCTGTATATTGACGATGGCACCGTCGCCTCTGATAGAGGTCATCCCGCCGTTGCTCATGATTTGATAGGTGACCTGGTGGTGACCAAGTGGTGTTAGTTGATGGTCTGCCCGGAGAACTCAGGCACGGATCGATCGGCAGGAAGTGAAATCGTACCTCGCCGAATTGGAACGTGGTCGCTCCCCTTTCGTTGAACTTTACTGTTACGCTCGAGTTGCCCGACCAGTGGGTCACATCGCCTGTGCACACCCCACGACACGCGCGCGCAAAGAGAACGGATCAACAGAGCCTAAAATCGGTGGGGAAGCGGGAATGGGCAGGCTTCCTTACCCCTGGGGTACTGGCACCACCTTAGATTGGGCAGCGCTGCGGCCAGGGAGTAGACATCGTCGAAGGAAAGTTCTTCTACGTACTGTATTGAGCCCGGTAGTGACATTAGTGACACACACCACCGCACACCGCACAATCGCACAATCGCACAGCACGTGCACGTGCACGTACGCGCAGCCACACCAAACTCAAACGCCAATCGAGGTGGTGTGTGAAACACAAGGAGCGTACAGCGAAGGAGACTTTGACGAGGCTGGTGAGATGTTGGGTAAAGGCCGCGTAGAGAGGGTCCTTGGTATACCGGCCGCCCAAGAAAAGCGTGGTGAGCTGCGAGGGGAGGACCTCCACCACCTCGTCGCCCACATCCGCGTGCTGGAACTTGAGCGTCGTAAGCGCGGGGCATGCAATCGCTACTGCCGCCAGAACCTACGCAGCAGCAGAGTCGGGCAGTTAATACAAAGCCCACAGGGTCAGTCTGGCTCGCGCCGAGGTTGGTGAGAGAAAGCGTAGGACGCGTGACGTACCTCCTTGTTCAAGGCGGGGAGCGACGACAGGTCGAGGTCGGTGAGGCTGGGCCAGGTATCAGCTTGATTCTCGCCGTCCTTCTGGAAGAGCTGCAGCAGCGCTTCGTTGGTGATCGCCTTGGTGCCCGCCAGCGAGAGCGTTTGGAGTGACTGCCTGCGCGGACGGAGCCAATGAGTATGAAACAAAAAAAGAAAAGAAAGAGAAAAGGGAAAAGAATCTCCATGAGGCCTCATCCGTACCGGTGAACGGAGCCGCCCAGGGCCTTCAAGAGCTCATCCCCGAGTTGCGGGCACTTGACCAGGTGCAGATGGAGCAACGGCTTTGGGTGAGCGAGCAGCCAGTCCCGAACTGTTGCCTCGGCCGGAGAAGGAATCGCGCCCTCCTCGGCCAAGCCGAAACTGCACGCCGCAGCGATACACGACACGAGTTAGCGTTGGCTGAGAGTCAGTGCAGAGCGTTGGCGCGAGATCAGCCACGCGCTTACTTGAAGAAGAGTCCGGTCGCGCTGGAGGCATTGCCGGCCACCACGTTGAAGACAAGGTCGCTGATCGTCGGGAGTTGTCCCAAATGAAGTTGTCCAAGTTTGGCCTGCGCGCAACGCCGAGTTGAGGTGAGCGACTGATCAGGACGTGACACACTTGACTATCACCAACGGTGGCACGAGAAACAAATTGCAAAATACAAAAACGCACAAGGCACTACGTAGAGACGTACAAACTCATGCACGCAGAGCTTCTTCAGGTGCTCATTCGACTTCGTCAAGCTCCAGAGCAGCTTCAACGTGCTGTCTATATGATAACGGCAAGTCAGTTTCTCAAACGTTGTGATAGGACTAGGATTCGAGGGAGAGGAGGGTGCTGGTGCGCACTTTTGCTGTGCCCACCGCTATGGGCCAGGAAGGAGATCAGATAGCACAGGGCTTCGTATGATGCGTAGTTGTCAGGCCTATGGAATGAACGTGACTTAGTAACCAAAGGCTGGTCGCAAGGCCCACGGGGGGGGGAGGAACGTACTTGATGGCGAGCGCCGCGCCGTAGAGAGACCCGGCCTCATCCACAAACTGCTCGTACTCCTCATTCTTGTCTGGTTTTGCGCAGTGGAGGTTGTGAACACTAAGCCTGCGAGCCACAAGCTGGGTGCAAACAAAATAAACATACCTAGGGCACTGGTGGCGCGGTCCAGGAGAATATCGCCGAGGCGAATCAGCGCTCCCACATGCTGCGGGTCGCATTCCAGAGCCTTACGGAGAGCGGTCTCCCGAATCTTACCGTCAGTGCTGTAACATTGACATATGCGTTGTCAACAACACATCACGTGTAAGTGTGCATGTGCGTGTCGGTGTGTGTGCGAATAACTCTATCAATGAGTCTGGGGGAAAAACGCACTCTGATGAATCGGACGAAAAGAATTTTGTCCCATAGGTGCTGGCGAGCTTGACATACGCTTCGGCATCGCTAGGCTGTAAGGAGTTTTCTCGAGTTAACAACCAACCACCAACCACCAAACAACAACAACAACAACAACAACAACAACAACAACAACAACAACAACAACAACAACAACAACAACAACAACTCACCTCTGCCGCAATGGCTTCCTGGTACTTCTTGCGTGCTTCGTGATCTTCGCCCCTTACCAGATGGATGTCGCCCAAGCCCATGAGGCACCTGACGTTTTGCGGGTTGATGTTGAGCGCGGTCTGGAAGGCGATCAAGGCGCCCGACAACGCCGATTGGTACTCCGCGTCTCTGAACAGATGGGGTGGGCCTGTCAGTCAGCGAACATGCACTGTTGGCTGGTACAAAGGTACGGTACCGGTGGTAGGAGTCCGGCTTGCACTCTTTGGCGCGCGACACAAGCATGTCGCCCAGCGCGACGACCGTGTCGGCGTCAATAAATGGCATCTTGCGGGCGGCGATCTGTAGTAATTGTAGTAGAATAAGAAAAAAGAATATAAATAATAATATAGTGCGGTGGTGTTGCTGTGGGGCTGGGATACGAACCTGGAACTTGCCGAGGCCCTGGATCAGAAGGCGCACTTGATCGTTGCCCTTTTCATCCAAGCTGCCGTAGAACATGGCGCTGGCTTCGGCGATATCTGTTGGTGTGGAGCCTCTGTGAGTTATTTTTCTGTTTGCCGCAAGCGCAGTGTGTTGCCGTGAGTTGAGAGGGGCCTAGACCGATGAGGTTCATGTGCTTGATCGAGGCCGCCAGCGGCATCAGGTCCAACGGGAGGAACTTGAAGTCGGGCGGCGTTTGGTCCCATGACTCGTTCTCGTGAGCCAACACAGCCGAGCCAAAGTCCTGGTTGGGCGCGTCGACGCCACAAGAGCAGAAATCAGCGAGAGCCGGCCCACAATAAGTGCGGGTGAGTTGGTGTAGTTAAGGTGGAGATTAAAAAAAGCAAACCTTGCGCGCCTCTTCGGTCAGAACAAAGATGTTGGGGGCGAGCTTCTGCAGGCGATTGAACAGCTTCGTGACGCTGATCCGCTTGCGCAGGTCGTAGCTGTCGTCCAACTCGTGGTCCAGGAGACATTTCTGTGACGCCAGAGAAGGTGAGTCGATCGAAGAACTGGACTGGAGCAGTCATTGGCACGTACGGCGAACTTGAAGAGCAGGGCACGCTTGAGCAAGCGCCAGTGCAGAGCAGAGGTGTGGTGGCGACCAAGCAACTTGTTGAGGTACTTCACCGCCGAGAGCTTCTGTGGCTCCTCGGTGGGTATGCCAGCAAACCTGGTGATGACGTCATCAGTGAGAGTCTCGCCCGCAGAGGATTCGTTCTTTCCGAGTGGCCATTACCTGGTCTTCTTCCGAAACTTCTCCTGAAGCTGCTTGCGCACGACCCTGGCAATCATCTCGACCATGATCATGTCCTGGACCTGCTCATTGAGGGCCTTCCTCCTGATGTACCCCAGGTGCCGAACGTTCACACCGGCCTAAAAGCCCATGCAGATGTGAGCTGATCAGTCGGCCGGTCGCTCTCCGCCATTGGTAGAAAAAATAGATTAAAAAAAAAGGGCCAATGTACCGCGTGAATGACTTCGATCAGATCCAAGTGGGTACTGCCCTTTTCCGCGCTGCGCTGCATTTCGTCCAACTTGGCAGCCACGGCGGGAATCAGCTCCTGCGAGACGGCGAGACAGAAACAAACGGGGCGCCTTTTAGCCGATCATACGGCGAGCAACGAGCAACGAGTCAATAAGTAACGTCATACGTGGAGGAGGCGACGCGTAGCCTCTGTAACGCGGGTGTTGTAAAGGTCTTTGTTCTCGTCGGCCTTGGCCCACAGGGTGAACGCGTCTGTGCCAAGGCAACAATAAGCGGGGTGAGCGCGTGCGGTGAGCGCTCACCCCGCTTGAATGAGTTCTCAAAGCCGGAGCTGGCGGCGTACCGGGCGTGAGCGGAACATCGTTGGACTTGACCAATTCGGGACGAAGCAGGTTAAACAGGATGATGCCCTTTCGCTTCATGCTGCGTCGCAGAAACGTGGACAAGGGAAACGATTAGGATGGATTATCATAGCCAACAGTTGTTGCGATTCAAGGTGGAATGGCGTTGTACTTGGCTGGAGAGGGCCTTTCGGGCGGGAACGTTCGGGCAAAGTCCTGCAGGTGGCGTACAAGTCAAGTCAAGCTCAGAGCTTAGCGAGATGCTGGCTCGGCTGAAGGGGTGGGTCAGGGCGAAGAAATCGCGTACCACCACGTAGTACCGCCCGTCGAGACCCTTGTGGCCTTCGATGTCCACGGGGGCGTAGAGCTTGCGCCGCATACCTCCGGGAACGCCGACGTAGTGCCCCTGCCCATCAAATAACTAGTTGAGTG